GATATGGATATATATATATATATATATATATATATATATATATATATAGATAGCTTACCAATTAACTATTAACAACCAAAATAGAAGCTATTAACTAATTAACTAACATTAGGAATGGTTGTTAGTAACTAACTAACCTACTAATATGAAATTACTAAACCGCCATTTCTAGACTATGTTATATCTTTCTCTACATATTTTCATTGCCAAGTTCAATCAGCCTAGTACATGCGTTATACGTAATTAGTTTAACAAAACATTTCCCACTATAATTAATATTGATCGGTTAAAATTAATTAGAGTTTGATATTTTATGTTATGAAGAAGTTATACTGGGATAACTTTTGTGTAAATAACACGATATCTATCATTTGAAACTTTATATTATTTTATTAAAGTGACCTAATAAATTTCTAAATTTAGACATTTTAAGAAAGACAATGTAGATCTGTAAGAAAGAAAAAGGGTACTATAAGCTAAGACTTGAGTGACAAATCAAAGATACTTCCACTTGTGCCAATATTTTTTTAGCTTCACATAAAAGCATACGTTGAGATTTTTTTTTTCTTTCCAAAATAAGGTTAATTATCTTCTATTAACCTTAGTATACAATAATCCGTAAATATATTGTTTATTTTTTCTAGCCCTATATATAGATTATATATTGATTACACATATTGTATATATATTATATCTCCATGGCTATTTTTAGTTTAAGCGTTTGAGTGAACGGCTATTTGGGTTAATTTTTCAAAAACTATCTGCATATAATCATCAATATAAAATACAATTAGTACCTGAAACGTAATGTTGTTTACGAATTATGAAACGTTTAAACATGCTAAGAGTATAAAAATTTGTTTATAATTATTAATGTATATAAATTAAAACCTCCCAACATATGGAATGCATGACGTGTAAATGATCTAACACCAATTTTGAATTCCAAATTGCTAAAACATATATTTGAGAAATTTTTAATCAAAGAAGAAATTAAATTACAGCAAAATTGTTACCAATAGTACTGTTATTAGCTAGCCAATAGTCATGACCAATTCTTTCCCCTGAATTCCAAACCCAACACGTTATTAACAATGGGAACATTAAATAAAACAACATTAGCCAGGTTATTAATTAATTATATTCCACCCAAACCACCTGAATCCCCAGCTATAAAACACAACCATATAAAATTTGTATCTTTATGAATTAAGAGTCTTATAAGTACCAATTTAACTTCTATGCACTGACATATAAAATCTTTTTTACACTATCAATGCATACAATGTTTTAAAAGGCGGGGCATGACGCGAGGCGTTTTACCTCTGACGAGGCGAGGCGTAAGCCCTGAAACATGGGGCGTAAGTCCCAAAGATCTTTAAATTTTACTAATTTCAAAATTTTAAAATAGTATAAAATAAAAAATAATTATAAAAATTACATTAAAATCACAAGATTATAACAAAATAATCTATTTAAAATATTTAAAGTGTAATTCAACTATGAATAATACGAAAAGTATGACATATATCATAATATGCAAGTTAGTTGCAACGTCATTACAACTCAAACATCAAAAGTAATGTATTCGATACAAAATCTTATATGTATTTCTTAAGAAATAATGAATCTTGAAAGAATTTCAATATTATAATTTGATATTTATCTTAAAATACTCCTTTTATTTAATATGCTTTCTATTTGAAAGAGAATTAATATAAAAACATAATTCACAATATCAATATGATTCTCTAGCATCATTTATTTTTAAGTTTCAATAAGTTAATAAAGTGACATAATTCACCATACAATACCATGATAACTAACTATTTGTAAATAGTTACTAGCTAATACTGAGCTATTAAATTAATAAGTATTGTATCTTATAAACGTGAAAAAATAATATTTAAAAAATAATTATAAAAAAATTATGGACTATTAAATAGTAAAAATAACAAAAGTTAATAAATAATACTTTTTAAATGAAAGATTTATTTAAAATTAACTATCATAGCAATCCTATTGGATAACGTACAATAATTTTTATTTTAATTATGACATAAAATACTCTCAACTTAATGATTTATGATTAAGAAAAAAGTAATTTTGGATAGTCAACGATTTATTAAGAAAATTTGAGGATTTACAAGGTTAGTTACATAAAATTACATAAAGTTCTATTAGGTGATCCCAGTACGCTGGGCGTGTCCGGAGCTTAACCCCCGATGGCCGAGGCGTAAGTCTCAAGGAACTAAGCCCAGGGGCGTTTTACGAGTGCTCCGCCCCAGGGCGAGTTCCAATTCTGTCTTTTAAACAGAGAATGCATATAAGTTAAATCTGTTAATCTTTAATAATTTAACTGCTAAAGCCGACAATTTTTTCCAAGGCATCTTCAGTAATTTTGCCTGCCCAATCATCAAATGACATGAATTCTTGATCATCACCATATATCTCCTTAATACAATCGATACAAGTTTCTAAATCAGTAGTCAATGCACTAAGATCAACATTAGCACTGTAATAAGATCCTCTATTAACATCTTCAATTGGTTTTTTCATTGCATCATCTGCATTCTCGTACACTTGTTTGCATAGCAAAAGACAGTCTTTAGCAAAAGGATCTGCTGCTGGATCAGATAATCGTTTTTCGACAACGCTGTCAAGGAAATCTTCACACTGTTTTTTCCATTAAGGAATCAACATAATGGTTTACAGGATCATTTGTTGGAATTTCAACATTTTGTGATTTGCTTTTTTATTTTGGACAATAATATAATGGACTCTTGCTATTGCTAGTTATCCCCCTTCCTTCTTCTAATGATCCTGATTTTGATTTTATCGGCCCAGAAAGACATGGCTGAAGCCAAACTTCAATTGGATCGGTGGAACTTTTAAACTTCAATGCGGGAATCTTCATTGCTGCAAGTTCAACCTGTCGTATCGTAATTCTCTCATTTTCTGGTGTGCAGAGTAGCAGAAAGTTCGAAATGATTTGAATAGCTGAGACTACTACGTACTCTACTCTGGAGATATAGCAAATGCTTCGAAAGGATGGATGTGTCATGGTCGTTCAGGAGCTGTTTTGCTGAAGCCTGAACGTATTTAATTAGAGTCAATATGAGGCTTCCTCAAATCTAAGAACTCCTATTATATATAGACGAAACTTAAGGAGGAGTTTAAACTTCAAATCGTTGCAAGGATCAAACTTTTGTAGCTCCCAGCAACTCTGGCTAGTGTAAGATTTTAGTATTGATTTAGAGTTGTTCATGAGATTAGATGACTGGAGATGTTAGATTATGTTATCTGTACAGGTGTTTCTGTAGGTATGTACAAGTGTTTTAGAGTTGCCATTTACTAGTAACAGTTCACTGCAAGTGCAACACTAAAATTCTTGCCATAGTAAGCATGATGTAATGTAAGCCAAGGTTCTAAAAATAGATAGTTGCAATTAGCCTTGTTTGACCTCTCGCTACATACTTTCTTTTTGGGGAGTTTTTCTATATACTATGATAGGAACTTATTAATTTATTTTCTCTAGGTTTTGTAGTTTTCAGAAAGTATCTAGTTTTTTTTACAAATTGTATATATTCCTCCCTTAAAAATTTCTCATCTCATTATTAATGCCTTTAATTAAAGGATTCAATTATCCTTTCCTTTTTTCACACTTCTCCTCATTTCATGCTTCCTAATTTTTTCAATACAATTCTGTTCTTCCTCATCTTCTTCATCTTCTTCAAGTTTCAATCATAACTCTAAACTTAAATTCTGAAACAATATTGTATTATAATTGTATTAGGTATTATTTTAGGTATTGATATATCAGATACAAATTAAATACAACTTTGATACAATTGTGATACAATTATGAAACAAATATGATGCAATTATAATACAATCGTGATACAATTCAGAAACTTTTTTTCTTCGAGTTTCAATATGAAATTTTACCTAAAAACAACTCTAAACTTCACCGATCTCCTTCAAAATTGAGATATAAACTCCAAGTTATATTCTCAATTGTTTGCAAGAGCACGATTTTGGGGTGTGTCTCTTACGGTGAAGGAATTTAGTAATTGCAAACAGAGGTGATTTAGTAATTGCAAACAGAGGTGATGATTTTTGGGTGGGTCTCTTACGGTGAAGGGATTTGGTGAAGAGAGGTGGTGTGTGGTGACCCAAGAGGTCATCACTTATTTTAAAATGAAATTTTGCATTCCGAGGCTTTAAAAACCTCTTTTAGCATCATTTCGATTTGCGTGCGCAGTCCGGGCGCGTATCCGGAAAGCTTATATGTGAAAATCTGTGAAAAATGATAAATTTTGAAATAAAATGAATTAATTTGATTTCGGTCAACGTTTTGGGTAAACGGACCCGAACCCGTGATTTGATGGTCCCAGAGGGTCCGTAGGAAAATATGGGACTTGGGCATATGCCCAGAATCGAATTCCGAGGTACCAAGCCCGAGAAATGAATTTTTAAAGAAAAGTGTTTTCAGAAATTGTTTAAAGGATTTGGAAATGAATTTTGATTAGAACATGCTAGTATCGAGCCTGTATTTTGGTTCCGGCGCCCGGTACTGGTCTTATATATGATTTAAGATAATTCTATGAAGTTTGGTAAGAAACGGATTCCGTTTGACATGATTCGGACCATAAATGCAAAATTTGATGTTTTAAGAAGTTTTGAAATATTTCATTGATTTTGAGGTTTAATTCGTTGTTTGAGGTGTTAATTTGGCGATTTGATCACACAGATAAGTTCATATGATGTTTTTGAGTTAGTACGTATGTTTGGTTTGGAGCCCGAGGTCTTGGGTGTGTTTCGGATGTGTTTCGAAAGATTTTTGAACTCATAAAAGTTGCAGGTTTTTTCAGTTTCTGGTGTGCTGGTATTTTCTTCTTCGCGTTCACGGGAGGACCCTCGTGAACGTGATTAGTTATTCTTGCTGAAGGAAATTTCCTTCTACGCGAACGCAAGACCCAGGCCGTGAACGCGGGCCTGGTATCGCGAACGCGAAGGCTTATGAGCCTGGCCAGGGGGAGGGGTATTATACCTATGCGAATGCGACCACCTGGACGCGAACGCGAAGGCTCGAGGAGTTAGTTCTCCGCAAACGCGAGCCTATTTCCGCGAGCGCAAAGGTCTCTCAGGCCTAGCTCATCGCGAACGCGATGAGCCTGTCGCGAACGCATATAGCAAATTTGCCCAGTTAATTTAAGTTCCAAAAATAGAATGTATTACGGTAATTCCACTATTTTTCATAAACTTATCTTCTCCACACCTCTTGGCGATTTTTGAAGAGGAACTTCACCATAGCTTCATAGTTATGTAATCCTAAGCTCGTTTTCTTCCATTTTTATCAACACCTACTAGATTTCTAGGCCTAAAATATGAGATTAAGGGTAGAAAATTAGGGATTTGGGTAGAGTTAAGACTTTTTGATTATTTGGGAATTTGACCTCGTTTTAGAGTCGAATTTCAAAACAAAATATATATTTGGGGCCGTGGGTGAATGGGTGATCGAATTTTTTTCCGAAGCTCCTGTTTTGACCAAGCCCGTAGTCAATTTTTGACTTTTTGGAAAGAATGATGGGAAAGCTATAATTAAGCATTGGAATTGGATTGTTTAGCGTTTATTGATGTTATTAAGTTGATTATGTCTAGATACAATTGATTTGGAGTCAAATTCACGAGGAAAGACGGTGTTTGAAGCTTGAGTTGGGTGTGGAAGTTCGAGGTAAGTGTTCGGTCTAACCTTAGCTTGAGGAATTAGGAGTTGTGTCCTATTTGCTATTTGCTTCTTGTTGAGTACGATGTATAGGCATGGTGACGAGTATCTATACGTTGGTGTCGAGCATGACAGTGAGTCTTAAATTGAAATTTATTTTGTGTTCTTAAATAGTACTACAGATGCTTTAATTGATGATTCTCGATATTGAGCAAGGATTAAGTTTGTTTTCGTGGAAATTACTTATGATTGAGTATTGGTGTTAGCTGAGATGAGTAGAAGTTGGGTTAAGATTGGTTATAGCTATTTCACCCTTGTCGGGACGTATTTACTTTTATTGTCGAATCCCTTGCCAGGATAGTGAAGTTTATTGTTGATCCCTTGCCGGGACTCTTGGTATGGTTGTTGCTAAAGGTATATAAATGTATGGATTGGGTTGCACGCCGCAACAATACTATATATGGAACGGATTGCACGCCGCAATAATGTTATGTTGGATCGGGTTGCACGCCGCAACAATGTTATATTGGATCGGGTTGCATGCCGCAACAGTGATATAAATGGATCGGGTTGCACGCCGCAACAGTGTTAAATGATAGGGATCGGGTTGCGCGCTGCAACACTGTTATTATAGTTTTGTTGTAAATCTTGAATTGTTCTCTCATATTTCTCTTAAGTTTCTTTTGGATTCGATATTTCCCCTATAGCATGTACCCCCTCCCATATTAATTGTTTATTCCTGTTTATTTTTCGATGTATATTATATAATTGCACAGGTTTATCTGGAGTCTGGTCCTAGCCTCGTCACTACCTCGCCGGGGTTAGGCCAAGCACTTGTCACACCTCCTTTTTACCTACACCCTCGTAAAGGGTGTGTAGGGAGTTTTTTCCAACTTAAACTGATAATCGAAATAGGATCATTTTTAATTAAAATTCAGAGTCGCCACTTGGGATAATTATGGTATCCCAAGTCACCAGTTCAAACCCCAAATCGAGGAAAAGATTGACTCTGTATTATAGTCCGCGAACACAGAAATTCGGGTAAGGAATTCTGTTAATCCGAGAGAAGGTGTTAGGCATTCCAGAGTTCCGTGTTTCTAGCACGGTCGCTCAACTGTTATAATTAGCTCAATTATCTGATTTAAAACTTTTTAAAACCTATATGCAATTTTAACTTTATAACCGCTTTGTTCAATTAATTTTTTAAGAAAAATTCAACGTTATCAAAAATACGTCTTGAACCACGTCACATAAATGCACCCGTGTTCCGCAACATATTTTATCTAACATTGTTGAGATTTGTATTTGGGTCACATAAATGCGCACCCGAGTTTAGGAAGGTAAATTATTAAAATAACGCGCCTAAAGCAAATACGCGTTTGCAACTTTGCAAGGGCCGTGGAAATTCAACTAGGTGGCACGCCTCGAATTCTAAGGATCAAAACAAGATTACTTAAACAAGGGCCATGCAATTATTATTTTGTTTGGCACGGCGCACCTCAATTCCAATTTAAAAAGGGAATTCAAACTAAATTTCGAAGGGCCATAAACTATATGTGTCATATAATATGGCTCACCTCCATTAATCAAAAACCCAATCCATTAATTAAAGAAAATTTACGGAGTTTTAGTGACCATGAGCTCATAGTTCGACCATATTAATTAACTGAAATTCGTCAAATGAACCAATTGTATAAGGAAAACTAAATTGACGAAATAATTGAAGAAGAAAAGTGCCTGAGTTTGATTGATTCTCAGCTGGGCTTGCATTAGGCCCGACTCTTATGCCCCACAATATTCAAGCCACTCAACTAATGCCAATTACTGATGCTACCATGGAATGAGCTTGACTTAGCAAATTAAAGCTCTGATTTTAAACGTCAAACACTAATTAATTATCAAGCTTCATGATTTTAAAATTACGCACACGTTTGGGCTAATTTGGCTACTGAAAGGAACCAGCAATCAACGAGTGAGCCACTGGGCTCGAAGAACAAGCCAAAAGCAAAACGCCGACCACTTTTAGTTGCGGATCCTCTCAAGGCCCTACATTCAATGAGCCCAAACCATGCAGGACCAGGGATGAGGATCATAGACTCAGCATCGAGTCTCTACCAAAGCGAATGACTCTTTCACACTTAGTCACAAACAAACTGATCTCACTATCACTTAGTAACTAGTACACCAGGCCATTTTTAACACCATCAGGAACAGTTGTTTGATTTCAAATTTATCAGATGTCTGTGTTTGGATTCGAATACAAACTGGGCTTACAAATTCCTCATGGAAATTCAAAGCAAAAACCTTTCAATACTGACATTAATCAATCCACAAAA